CTTGTCCTCCGGCACGGCGCCCCTGAAGTCGTCACTACAGACCGCGGATCATGACACTGCTGACCCAAGAAATCCTCGGGTTCAGTCACACCAGCCACCATCGTACCACTGCGTACCACTCGCAGACCAACCGGCTGACGGGGCGACTCAACAAGAAAATCGCCGACATGATCTCTATGTACGTCGATGTAGAGCACAAGACGTGAGACGAGGTGTGGTCCTACGTCACGTTCGCCAAGGCGGTTCAAGAGACCACTGGATTTACACCTTTCCAGCTGGTGCATGGTTGGAAAGTAACGACTATGGTCGACGCGATGCTGCCTCATGAGCCAGCTGGTGATGAGAGTGACGACGCCCAGATGGTTGCTCAACGGGTCGAAGAAGTCCGCCAGCTCGCCCGACTCCTGATTCAAGACCAGCAACGCGTCGACGCAGGCCGCTACTACCTTCGTCGCAGGGACGTCCACTTTCAGCCCGGAGACAGGGTGTGGGTGTGGACGCCGATCTGTCGCCGCGGCCTCAGTGAGAAACTGCTGAAACGGTACTTGGGACCATACATTGTACTTCTTCGTCTCGGGGAGTTGAACTACGAGATGATGCCCGACAGCACAAGAGCAGCATCACGCCGCCCATCACGACCTGAAGCCGTCCACGTCGTGCGGCTCAAGCCGTACTACGCACGATAAGACTGTGAACTGTGATCCAGTGCAACGCTTGATATGACTGTGTTTTTCGAGCCTCCGTATTTTCGTATTATTTTGTTTTCCTTGCTTTGTAATTTTCCCCTTTTACGTGGCATCGAGACGATTCTTTTTTTAAAGGGGGGGGGGGGGGTGTAATGCCACGCGCGTCGGCGAGCGACCGCGTGCGTGGCCGAGTGGTTGCCGGGCTTGACTTTCGTGCGGAGGCCCAGGGTTCGATTCCTGGGAGTTGCGCGTCTTCTATTTATTCTTTCAGTTTAATGTTCTGGTAAATTCGAAAACCCTGTTGCTTGTTTGAGGTTCGAATGTTCCAGTCGCCGAACCTTCTACGCCGAATATTCCAGAAACCCACACGGGTACATAAGGTACTCCGCATAGCGAGCCGGAGTCAGTCTCGCTCCAGCGTTCGATCCTGCTGTTACGCTGACTTGACGCCCGCGACGCTCCGTTGTTATCGTCGGTTCACTTTTTCTTTTGGGCACACGTTCTCCTCATTAAACATTGCAGTTTCCTCGGTTACTGTTTGTTTCGTCACCTTGTCATTCGTGACAATATTTGGACGCGTGTAGAACGCCGTTCTGCTAATTCAAACGCTACACATATTAAGGAGTTTTAAAATAACTTACGCAATTTTAGCGCACGCTAGCGCTAAATTTAGCGCTTGCGTTAGCGCGCGCGATGTAAGAGAGTTTTAGAATATCGGTTCTCCGACGCGACACAAAAGCCCAAGCATCTCCGCGCTTGCAACGCCACCAAGATAGACACGTTTTTTATTTCACATACGAAATGCTGTAACTTGAGAAAAAACAAGATTTCTGGTCCGGACTAACAATTTTACATTTGTTTAAACGTGAAAATGCGACGCGAGCGGTCGATCGCTTGTGTCCGCATGCGTCACCTCGGCAAGAGTGTACTGACCTTCGCCGATAAATGTTCGCTCGTCGCAAGCATCAAGTTGCCAGTGATCGTTGCCCACCTTACTGGGTTTTCCAAACCAAGTGCAATGTCGTCCCGTCGTCCCGTATTGAAAATCGCAGTCGCGAGGATGCCGCCGACGTCGCGCTTACGACGCCGCCAAAGCGGCCGCAGCCGTGGTCCTGGCGTCTGTCATTTTTTTAACTGTGCTCGTCTAGACTTTAGCCAACTTCTCATCACGAATCCTCCTTGGAGGAGTGCAAAAACCCTTTGCGTACGCACCTAATTTCTGACAAATAGCGTGCGCTAAAGTAGCGCACGCCAAGCGCGAAACGTGGTTAGCGTTCGGCGCATGCGCAGTGGCGACGACGCTATTCTTTGCGTACGTAAAGCTTTAGCGTGCGCTGTTCTAAAACTCCCTATTGTTACTTCCGTACATTTCGAGGGATAGAAGTACTAACCTCGACGACAATGGTGTTAAATCGACACCCATTACGGAAGAACGGGCAACACAGACGAGCGAGGAACAACGGGGGGGGGGGGGGGGGGGGGATGACGAACTTTAGCAGAGATTACGCCACGTTGGCCTCTATCGGTCTACTGTCTGCAAAGTCGAGGACGAAGCTGGTATTTGAACCCCTTATCGTGTAACTGGAAGATGTCAAGTGCTCATGAAATTTTTTGTGGGCCCCTACCGCGTCCTACGTCAGCCCTCCCCAAATCATTGCGAAATTGCTCCTGTTTCACAACCTCAAGACCGTCGATCAAAATCACATCACGTTGTGCATATTGCCCGCATGAAACCGTATCACCGTTTAGAAAATTAACTTACTCACAAGAGCCAGCTGACCGGCCTTTTTTACGTGGGAGGGGGGGGGGGGGGTATTCTTATGAGGAGAAAAAGAGACACGAGGAGCGGCCCTCGTGCGGGAAGGACATTAACGAGCACAGTCGGTTCGCTTTTAATATTGCCTCATTGCACTTATTCATTCCCATTTAATACACGTATATTCAAACCCTCATAACATTGACGCCCCTTTTTAAACCCTTCTCATAACATGTTCCTCCTTTGAAACGCATGCAGCTTATGCTTGAAAGGGTAGAAAATCCTGACGTGGACGTATACTTGATTTGTTATTTTGTGGATTTTAATTACGGTGTATTATAAATTATTAGTTACTAGCCAATTTTGTTGTCCGTCGCTTCATGTACAAACACCACTCTATAAGGCCTGCCATCTCTTCAAGGCCACAAGAAACATGAAATGATGGACTGCACTAAACCGCCAGCTGTGAGTTAGAGCATTCCCGGCTTCTCGTTCTTGCTCTTGTCTCTCCTTCGCTCTATTTATTGCTCATAATACTGATAATACTCCTGAAAATATATATTCTGTGCGAAACATCCCACCGTAGTAAAGCGGTAAGTTGGGCGAGATGGTACTGGTTGAACATGTTGAAAATTAGCACACAAGAAGACGAGGACAGGGACAGGAACTGAACACAGAAGACAAACAAGCCCTAATTCTAAACTTAAATATATTGTACGTTGAAAAGAAACAAGCCGCACGTTCCTGCTTCTTTCTTCTTTTCAACGTACTATACATTTGAGTTCTGAGTTAGCGCTTGCCTGTCGTCTGTGTTCCGTTCGCCTGTCCCTTTCCTGGCCTCTTAGTACGCTATTTTTTATCATGTTCACCCGGACATGGAGCTTGCACAGACACTAATGTGATGCTTTTTCGGTAATTTTCAAATACGTTGCGGCACGGCGCCATGTGCTCACGGCGTGTGTTGACGTTTTGCATAAAGGATGGATCCTGCAATGGTAGCTGATTCTTTCTCCAGGTGAAGGAGAAATGTCACGTGAATTCATTTGCTGGTGAAACCACCAGCATACGTATTTAAAGAAAAGGTTTACTTCGTAAAGTATGCAGAAAAGAAAATTGTTAGGAAACTGCTTTACCATGGAAGGTTAAAGGAGCCTGACACTTCTGAAGTGAACTTCTGAAAACAGATTTTGTCTGGGTGCCCTAGTTTTTGTTTAAAAGAAGATGAAAAAAAAAAAGATCCAGGTTTTTGCCACCTCTCAACTCGTACGTCGTCTTCCGGGTTACGTCCGCAGTGACGTCGATGGGGTAGGCGCGGGGCTCCGGAGAAGCTCTCTCTCTAGAGCCATCAGTGAGCAGCGAGAACTCATCCGCTCGCGACCCCGTGACCACGTGCTGGTGGGAGCAGCCATTGCGCAGCGCGAACAATATGGTGAAAGGAGGAAAGTCTCATCCGGTCCGGTCATACCCGTCCGGCCCTATCCCCCTCCCCCTTCGGCTTCTGGCGGCTGTTAGCGGTAGCAGATAGAGATGACGGTTTTGTAGACCTAGGATAGATGGTGCCATTAAAACTCCGTATAATAAAAGTTTTGTCAATGATAACAGGTTTTTAACGCCTTTATATTTATGTTGGAACGACAAGATTTATAGAAAAGTTACCTTTTATCGAGCAGGTATTCGCACAACTTGCTATCTTTCTACAAGATTCCCCATTGACGTCACGCCGCGTGTTTCTCATGGCCGCCGCTCGCGGCTGTAGGTCGGGGAATATTTTAAGTTTTGCCTTGCTATTATGCGGCGGAATCGCAACATTTCGATGAAAAGAGGTGTGTTTTCTGTCATTTGTGACAAGGTGAACAATATCAAAAGTGGAAGATGACAATTTTTTCAACGTCAAAATCGTTGCACGACTCCTTTAAACAATAAAAATGCCGTTTTGAAAAGCGAAAAGAAGAGCATTATGAACGGAAATGGCGTAGAAAATAAGACATGTTGCAAAACACACAGGCCAGTAGAAAATTCTGCGAGAACAACAAATGCCACAATGAACAGGGTTCCGTCGCTCGACATTTCTTGTCGGCAGGAGAACCTGAAATTATATCTATGTATAAATCCCAAACCCGTCGAGGCCTAGGATGTTTCGGAAAGTTCGGAGAGGGGGGAGGGGCGCTTTCAAGGGGGAGGGGGGGGGGGGGGCGACAATGGATAAAGTTTAGCGGGCACGCAATAATAAATAACTATTAATAAAAAAACACCCAGTATCATGCAGTTCAGGCACGAATGCTACAAGCGCGCTGATTTTTCATGAGCCTTGAATCGCTTCGACCTGCAGGTTAATTGCCCCACGCTGTGTCGTTCGGGACCATAAGCATATGTCAAGACGGACTTTCGGACACCAAACCCGTTATTGTCAGGCGACTTCAACATGACTGCGCGTTTTCCGAAACTGTGCCGAAGAAAAACAAGTATTTCGAGGGATAGATCTCAAAATTATTTTTTCTTGAGTCTAAAGGATCCGGAAGCATGCTTTACTTCGTGCTTACTCTTCATTCGACTTCCAGGTGATTCAACGTCGGGGCCCACGCGAAAACGACAAGAAACTATTCGAAAAAAGGAAAAATGAGTACGAGCATCATTTTGGAGATGCCTCGGCTTCATACTGGATAGGCAAGTATAATTATATGAACTCTTGAGTTTTTGATTTTCAGAAAGAGCAAGCATCAAATGATAAAGAAAAAAATTGGTTTGACGAACAATGGGATTCATGCGATGAAAATGCGGTAGCATTTCCATCAGATTCAATTTAATGGACGCGTGGCCTTGGCTTTCTTCTGTCGTCGTCTTGGATACGGTCAGCCATATCACTCGTGGAAAGAACCACATCCGTCGCCGAAGCGGCAGCTAAGCTGGGCCAAATTCTAAAGCGGTGCGCCGCCTGCTCGTCTCTGGCTCCGCGCCAGCTGTGCTACGCTCGTATTGGTCCGAAGTGCTGACGTCAGCACGCGTCACCCTCTTCCTCTCTCCCCGCCGCCGAGACGATACCTCAACCATTTCGTCGTTTACCCTGAGACTGGGTTTTTTTTTGAAGAGCAGAAGTAACAGAAAAAACAGACAGGTCTCAAACTCAGCTACACGTTTATTTCAACAACTTCCTCTTATATAGTTCGTTCTCGTCGTCAACAACCAATCACATACGACTTGTCCTTTGCACCGTGACTTTACAGGTTCCACTCTATCACAAAAGAAGCGGACACTCCCAACGTTTCCAAGTGAAAAGGTTTTAGCAGAAGATATGCCTCACAAAGCTTCAAGCAACTCTTTTGTGTCCTCACAAAAAACAGGACAACAGCCCACAACAACATCCCACTCAAAACTGGTCACCTCCAAAATTGTAGAAAACAGACAATACACACCAGTATACACCACAGACAATACACAACAAAGAAGCCTTTCAGGATGACTAAAAAAAAGAAAAACACTTAAAACCATAAAAATTGCTTGCAGCGGTTCCCTATTTGCATGGAAGGTTGACTAATGCAATTTCCCAACGATCTAATCCTAATTGTTTCTCTTACCACCCTTTTAACATCGTTGCTTTCCTTAACAACTACATCCGTTCCAGACCAATCCGTTGTGCAGTTTCTACACTCCGCCAGATGCTTAGCCAACTCCGAATTTGCTGCATTATTTTTAACATTCCTTTTGTGTTCTGTTAAACGATCGTTCAAACACCGAGAGGTTTGGCCTACATACTTAAAACCACACGCCAAAGGAACCTCATACACCACGCCTACGCTACACGGCACAGACTTTTCCCTATGCGCCTTCTGACAGCCCCTCTGAACCGTTTCAAAAGGTGTGAATCTATCTAACCTAAAATCCGTGCTGAATACAACATCCACGCCATATTTTTTTTTTTTTTTTTGAATAGCGGTTGATAGTTTTCTTTCGGTGCTAGACCTTCATATAAAGTCAACGGTATTGGAATACGAAGGTCGCAATTTTGTGCGAAAAGAGGGAGTCTGTATAGGTTCGTCTGTAGCGCCTTTGTTAGCGTAAATTTACTTAAACACGGTGGACCAGCAAGTGTATGACAAGGTAGAAGAGTTGTCTCCAAAGTGTTTTGTGAAAGATTTGTGGATGATATTTTAGTTTGCTCTGTTCAGGAAGGATTGGACCAAGGTTTAGAACAAGTAGTAAGGTCAGCGGCGCCAGAGTTGAGATTCACGTTAGAGAGGCCAAGGGGCGAGGTCCTGCAATTTCTCGACCTGCGTTTACATTTGGAACGAGGTCTTTGTTGGGAGTATGGGAAGGAAAACCCAAAACCGGTTCTGTCAAAGAGTAGTTGTCACTCGAAAAATGTAAAAGCCGGGGTAGTCAGATCTTTGATTAGTAATGCTTTGGTGAGATCATGCATGCATTTCGGACCGGAGGCACTAAAAAACCAGTGGGAAAGACTGGTAATGGCAGGATATGGAGAAGAGTACATCAAAAGGCAGATTGCCCTACAGTGCAGGGAGAAAAAGGGGAAGACGCAAGAAATCAGCAATAGGTACGCTGTGGTTCCGTATTTTCACGAGGTGTCCCACAATTTTAGAGCATGTGCAAAAAAATATGGCGTGGATGTCGTATTCAGCACGGATTTTAGGTTAGATAGATTGACACCTTTTGAAACGGTTCAGAGGGGCTGTCAGAAGGCGCATAGGGAAAAGTCGGTCCCGTGTAGCGTAGGCGTGGTGTATGAGGTTCCTTTGGCGTGTGGTTTTAAGTATGTAGGCCAAACCTCTCGGTGTTTGAACGATCGTTTAACAGAACACAAAAGGAATGTTAAAAATAATGCAGCAAATTCGGAGTTGGCTAAGCATCTGGCGGAGTGTAGAAACTGCACAACGGATTGGTCTGGAACGGATGTAGTTGTTAAGGAAAGCAACGATGTTAAAAGGGTGGTAAGAGAAACAAATAGGATTAGATCGTTGGGAAATTGCATTAGTCAACCTTCTATGCAAATAGGGAACCGCTGCAAGCAATTTTTACGGTTTTAAGTGTTTTTCTTTTTTTTTAGTCATCCTGAAAGGCTTCTTTGGTGTGTATTGTCTGTGGTGTGTACTGGTGTGTATTGTCTGTTTTCTACAATTTTGGAGGTGACCAGTTCTGAGTGGGATGTTGTTGTGGGCTGTTGTCCTGTTTATTGTGAGGACACAAAAGAGTTGCTTGAAGCTTTGTGAGGCATATCTTCTGCTAGAACCTTTTCACTTGGAAACGTTGGGAGTGTCCGCTTCTTTTGTGATAGAGTGGAACCTGTAAAGTCACGGTGCAAAGGACAAGTCGTATGTGATTGGTTGTTGACGACGAGAACGAACTATATAAGAGGAAGTTGTTGAAATAAACGTGTAGCTGAGTTTGAGACCTGTCTGTTTTTTCTGTTACTTCTGCTCTTAAAAAAAAAAAAAAAAAAAACCCAGTCTCAGGGTAAACGACGAAATGGTTGACTTCCACCAGCTAGCCTGTACTTTGACTCTTTTCACGATACCTCATCATCACCCCATTCTCCTCGCGACGTCATGCATGGCGCTGAGAAACGGACGCACGGACTGAAACCGGTGAGTTTTCGTTAAAACGAGTGTTCTAATGCAAGCGCATTAACATGCGTAGGATCCCGCCAAACTCCTGTAAACGAAAAACACCTACAGATGTGTCAGTGTGTCACATGACACCGTGGTGTCACATGATCTGGTAACGTCATGTGGTAAGCTATCCCGCTAAATTGAGTATGAAACGTTAAAGGTCCGTCACGCGACATCTCTAAGTGATGTTACACCTCTCTGTAAGGGGCATTCAAACGGGGTAGCCCCTTTGGGGGGAGGTGTGCTTGACGTCTGCGGTTGAAGGAACTAGCGGGAATCCCTCCCCCGCTCCAGCATGTACACAGATGGCAGGGTGCCGAGAGGAATGTCAGTGTTAGGGGGCGAATTTAGCGGGTGCACTCTCGACAACAAGGCTCGATGTGCGCGGACGAGTGTAGAAAAATGGATGCGTACATTAAGCGGCGGTAGGTGATTCTGGCCGCAGATTGTTAGATACTGAAGACGACGACCTGCTTCCTGCAAAAGAAAAGATGTTGGGTGGAAAATTGGATGAAACACAAAGAACGTGGAGACCAACATTAGGTGTGGAAAAAGCTGCTTGAAAACGACATTCATGAATATCGAGAACTTTTTCGTGTAAGCGCAGAATAACGTTCAACGAGCCGAAGAACTAGCTGCGCAAGCCACAACAAGTTAGGCGATCCCCATGCCACCTCCGGTATTGCGCAGAGCACGATCTGTAAAGCTGTCAGCCACGCGGACAAAATACTCCCAATTGCGTAGAATCCCCCGCCAAAGCAGTTTGTGCAGCCCGAGCAAAAGCTCCCACTTTCCCCGGTGATGCCTACGTCAGGGGTACTCATACACAACTCGCTTCCACTTGCCATCGCAGAACAAATAGAACGCGACCTACTATCACCCGTTGAGGTTGTCTGGATCACAGGTCATGTGGACATGCCGGGCAACGAGAAAGCACACCTGCTCGCCCGCGAAACGCTTCACAGGGTACCCGACATCCCCAGATTTGCCCAGACGTCTCCCGTGGCCTTACCTTCCCTCGAGTAATAGAGACAAGCCCGTCGAGTCATTCCCCCCCTTCACCCTCACCTCACACGCCACCAAAGCACCATCCTCGGCGACGCCAAAGTAACACTCTTCCCACCCCAGCCCGCATCCACCTTCTACGAGGTCTACTCCCTGAGGATCCTCCCCCCTGCATCCACTGTGGCGACCGCCCAAATACCCATCACATCTTATGGATTTGCCATCCCCTTACCCCACCCCTGCCTAACCCCACCTCCCTGTCTTTCCCCCCAACCCCGAGTGGCTGACTACGGCCACCACATTGTCGGACCAAATTTACCTGGCTGCGTACATCCAGCCCTCTCTGGAGTACGCCACCAGAGGGGGCCTGGACTGAGGCCACCTGCTATATTCTTTGGGCCTAATAAAGTTTCATCTCTCTCTCTCTCTCTTTACGTCAGGGAATCTCCGCGGAAAGGCCTGATGTTATTACCACGTGATGAGCACCTCTGGGAGCAAAAGGAGGGATTTCTCTCTCATATGAATAACCGCGCTTCGTCTCTGTCCACTTCTTCGTTCTTGTGTATTCGGCGCTTTCCATCCAGTCATGAATAAACAATAAGAATTACCTTAAACCCCTCCCCTCCCTCCCCTCAAAGCAAAAAAACAAAAAAGAAACAAAGAAGACAACAACAAGCAAACAAACGATAACCAAAACAAAACAACAACAGCAACAACAACGTATTTTTGCGTTACACGAAAATGTATTTTTGCACGGACGAAAAAGTATTTTTGCACTAACGAAAAACATATCAACACACAAAAAAAAGACAGACAGTAAAAATGCTGTAAGCTGAAGCAGTGGCTGTTCTATATACGCTTTTAAGGACCCATCATAACGGACCTTCAATTTTTGTTTCCTCTTATTCCATTTACTTAATTCCATCATTACCTTAGCAGGACGGGTTATTGCCATTTTAGATTTAATTGTGTCATTTTCCCCAGCATTGGCCTTTTTAGATGCTCGTCAACGCCCGTTTCAGTTCCTCGGTATCTCGGTAAGAAGAGAAGGTCAGCAATGGCGGCTGTAATATGGCGCATGTTTACAGCGTCTATATGTGCTTACTTAATTTACGATTAGCAATTATACTTTCCATTAAATGTAAGCTCCCACAATTATCTTCTTTGGCAAGCATTGAATCTTGCTCATCTAATAGACAATTATAAAGCTATAATGGTTCACCTCCGCCATTCGAACATATGATTATATAATTTCGTGATTAAAAGAAGTCACTGGCTTTTTTTCTAGTGAAACACTTATTTATCTGATTTCACTATATTTAGCTTGGTTTAATCTGTGCTTTTATACTTGGTTTCAGTTTGATTCCAGACGCAGTCGACGATATGAGCTAATGGGACAAATCAAGCACCGTCGAAAGTGCAAGTCACTGGGCCTTTTTTGTTTTATTGGATAAGTGACGATAGAAGACGTACAAAAACATGGCGAACTTCATAATGGTGCACTTTTGACGCTTTTTGATTGATCCATCAGCTCCAAGCGTCGGCTCCGCCTGGATTAAGACAAAACGAAGTATGGTCTACGCAGATTAAGGAATCCGGCGAGTGTTTACGAAAAATGGCACGCTTTTAAATTTAAAACGTTATGCTCATTTCTCCCGATTTTAGGAGGCCTAAAAGAGTTTACTACAGTCCTACTATAGTCCTATAATAGTATAACAAAACACGTTGGTGAGTTCGTGTCAACTTTGAAAAAGGTGTTCGTGTGCTATTCCTAAACGTATTATGTGCCTTCCATTAAAGGGAACGAGAATCTTCACCTTCTTACGGCCTTTCCAAGGAAAAAACAAGTTCTCAGGATTGAACTAGAGAGAAAAGATAAAAAGAACATCCTTGCCGAGTATGATCATTTTGAAGTTGGTTCCAAAGCGGAGAATTACAAGCTGTCTGTTGGCGAGTATAAGGGGCCTGATGGTAGGTATCGGCGCATTAACTATAACTTTAGCTCCGCCTACCGCGTTGCGTTAGTCGGTGATTGCTGGAAGTTTTATGAGCTGATATTTACACGAAATTGAAGACGAACTGGGTGTTTTCAGATAAGTTCGGCCGACCATGTCCAGTGACCACTTCAAATTTTTCTAAAAAAATATATTTTGTAGAGCCAATGCCAATCAGAACAAAACGGAAACTTGTTTTGCAAAAAATATGTTTGTCTTTTTGGAGAAAAATGAATTAGAAGCACTCTCACTGCGAAGCGCTTCCGCGAATTCCGCGAAGTTGGTTTTTTGAGCAGCTCTCCCCCACGCCCCCCCCCCCCCCCCCTCCCCCCAAACAAAAAAAAAAAGCTTTTGTTGCTACGGCTTTAGAAATATTTACTCACAAACTACGTATAAGATGGATTGACTCAAATGTGTTAATTTCCAGAGATAAATCGCAAACACGACACATTCCGCAAAAATTCTGAATTTTTTGTTTGTTTTCTCCGCATCTATAAATACTAGAACCATCAAACTTTGCCAGCGTATTGTCCTGTGTCTTTTTAATATTGGCGCTAAATATTGTTGTCATGGGTAGTGGAAGAAAGTTATGAGGAGTGTTCAAATGGGTCCATTTTATTAATTAGGAGTTATTTTAAAGCTCGATTTAAAAAAGCCATCTGTGATATTTTTAAACTCTTCCACATTAAGGCCAATGATAGATACTAACAAAATTCGCAAGAATATGTTTGCATTATTTGTGTGCATTTGAAGTTATAAAGCTAGAAATATGACACACTTCAGGCTACCGCAGCACCATGAATGGGGCGTGTAGTTAACCATAGAAAACAAATTCAGTATCTTTACAGAGTGTAAAAATACTCGAGGTTATTCAGAAAAAAACAAATTAACGGCACAGAGGCGGACGGCGGATTTAAAGTGAGAATTCTTAATGCGTGTTTGTATAAGAGTCACAGAAACTGCGCGCGGTCCAGAGCGATCGAGAGGCACTCTCATGTCGCATGCTTCGTATGGCCCGTTTTCAATAGCCGACGTCTAGGGTCTCTTGTACGCCACGTATAGGAAGGCGGCTCCGCTTAGCACATGTTTATCTCAGACTTTTGCCTGACGGTAACATGATATGGTGTGGCGAAAACCGGCGCGCCTCTTTACAGCATTGGAGCCGCCGCCACGGTAGACCGTGAGACGCGAAGAGAAGACAAACACTGGAGGAAAGCGTACCGATTGTTTGAAAGTAATAGCAGTGATATGGACTCCAAAGATAATGTTTACTTTTACTTGCCTCTCTCGTGGACCATCCGGCAGATGCTTCATGAGCATCGTCCATGAATATTGCATACTGCACTCCCCGCGTTTCGATGGCTGAATCGTACAGCTTAAAGCGAGTGTTCTGCCCTATCTCAAGAGGCACAGGAAAAAAAAGTGAATATCGAAGAAACTTTTGTAGTGTGAAGGATTTGGACATCGCTGTGTTAAAGAAGCATATGACAGAAGCAGTTCACTCCATTCGAGATGACGGCGTTTTGGCTCAGGACTGCTTCTGCCGCTTCAAGCGACTCACCAAAGAATATCCAGAGACATCTGAGCCTGACAAAAATTTTGTTCCTCAGGAAGCAGCCGTCGAGGATCTCAACAGATTCATTGAGTATCACATCTGAAACCACAGACTGAGTTGAAATCGCATTGTCGGAAGCCCTACGCAAAGCAGAAGAAGAGGGAGATTGAGACCATTCTCGTTAAGAAAATTTCGTGAAGCATCACTGGGTGAGTCTTGTTTCAACCCCCGACGAGTGCAGTCGACTTCCCCGAGCTCCGCGAACTCCGGAAAACGAGAACGTGATCCTAACATAACCATGGAGCCGGCGCTCGGCGCAGCAGGCCCACCACCTAGCCTAGCGCGAGGCACGCCCTGGCCCCCCATTCTGCGTCGCCATGGAGCCTGAAAACTCCGAAGCAGGCACCCCATCCCGGCGGCGGAGGCCATAATTTTGCCTGAGGACCGCCGCCGTGCCCCCGGGCTACCAGAGCTGCTGCCAGGATGGAATACGCCGTGGAAGGCGAGACGATCACCCCCGCAGTCCTCTCCGAAGAGGGATGTATTATCATCAGCGGAAAAAATGAAAGAGCACGCCAAACCCGGATCCTGAAAAAAGCAGAGCGGCTATGTTTAACGCAACCGCAGGCCGGATTGACCACCGCCCGGCCTGCTCAACAGACAGGCAGGTTCTCACTTGTCACTAATCATAACAAACCGTGAACCAGACGTAGAAGACCACCCCTCCCACGCCTACCGGAAGACGACCGCAAGGTCGTAGTCAGGCCGAGTAGCTTAAACCTTCGCACGACTACCACGGGACAGTTGCTCAAAGCGATCTGCGAGCAGCTCAACTTCCCGCCTCAAGAAACCTTCGCGAAGGACATATTGCGGGTCAACCCCTGCAACAACATTTTCACGATCAGCACTCCTGTGAAAGAACGAGCAGACGCCTATCGGAGCCTGCCAGGGTTCGCAATAGACAACCAAGACTACCCAGTCACGGCGTACTTCCCCACGTCCGAACAATCTGTAAGAGTGGTGATTTTCGGAGCCCTCGGCAACGAGACTCCCGTCGGAGATCTCCATTACTGCATCACAGAAAATCCAGAACTCCCCATCGTCAACGCACGCCGCATGGGACGCCCAGAGCGGCCGTCATCACCTTCGAGGGCACCAAACCGCCGAATGAAATGATATTTCAAGCCGGCATGTCGGAACATGTCTCAACTGTCGCAAGGTCGGACACCGAGCCGACATGTGCTACCGACCGAAAAGCCAACGCTGCCATCGCTACGGAAAGGAGTACCCGCCAACGGAGGAGGTTGAGCCCCAAGCTGCGAAGCAAAGTGCATCATCTGCGAACGTCCGCACGTTACACGAAGCCGCAACTGCAAGCACCGTTTCGTCGAGAAACCCAGAAAACTCCAGGACAAGAGGCCTCCGACTGGATTTCAGTGCTTCCTACTCTCGTCGGAAGACGACGACAACCCCGGGTGGCGCTCAAGATCCAGACAACCATCGACGCGCCTACGCCGCAGCGAAAGTCCGTCGAGGGCCAGGTCTACTTCCTACCCACCCCTGTACGATCGCGGAAGAAATAGCTCGAGAAGCAAGAGCAACGAGCGCAAGAAACCTCCCTTCTCGAGAGGCAACAGCACCACCCAGAACGCCGACAAACAGGTGAGCTGGACATCCAGGGTCTCCCAAGCGAACGTTGGGGAGCGCGAGTTTCTGGAGCAAACTAGAAAGCTGAAAGAGGAAAATGCTGCACTCCGTAGGCGACTAGATGAGCTTGAAAAGTTCGTCAAAACAGGTCCCAATTCTACCCCGAACAAACCGGCAGCCGCGAGATCGGCTCCACCTACTCCTACGCAAATCGCAACCAACAATGCGATGGATGCGGACGCTAACCGCGGAACTCTAAAGAGACGGGCCTGGACAGACCTAGACGCTAACGCTAAACAAGCAGCCAAGGCATCCCCAGACGGTGAGCCGCAGCCCAAACCAATAACCACCGTCACCTGTCAGGCACCTATGCGCAAAAACAAAAGGTTCGATCCACTTGAGAAAGACAACCAAGAAATCAAAGACAGTCTCAGACTAGTTGGAGAGAACCTCCAACAAATCCTACAACGCCTCACGGCACTTGACCGCCTCGCGGCCCTAGAAGCGACCGTGCAAATGCTTGTGCAGCAACTACCATGTAACCCCCCACAAACAACTCAATATGGCCCCTCGACCTCATGAGATTAAGGTCAGGCAGTGAAAAAACTGCAGGGGATACAAAAACAAACGTGGCAACCTGCAGCTCCATACTCAGGAACTATCCAAAAAAAACGTATGTTATAGCTTTACAAGAAGCCAGTCACCCGATCCAATTAACGGGTTACACGTCTTTCATTCCCCTGAACACAGACCCGAAAAAGCCAATCTCGGTCACCTTCGACTATCGTTCAACGCAACATCGCGGCCATACAACACGAAATCGAGGACACAAAGGTCCAATACACGCTAGTGGAAATCCCGTCGAGTAAGAGAGGAGATGGAAACGTCTACATTCTTAATGTCTACAGTTTACCCAAGGACAGAACAAAAGCAACCTCCCGCATTATCCCTAAGGCCGTAAAACTTGCAGGGAAATCTCAACTCGTAGTGGTAGGCGATTTCAACGCGCACCACCCTGCCTGGGGCTACCAGAAAGCGCATATCAAAGGAACGGCGCTATGGCAATCTACACAAGACGAAGGCATGACGATCCTTAACGATGTCAAAGAGCCTACTAGGATCGGCAATAGCGTCAGCAGGGACACGGCCCCCGATCTTGCCCTGAGTAAAACCATTGACTAAGCCACGTGGACAAATACGGGCCTCACGTTGGGAAGTGACTACTATATAGTGGAAACGATCTTCCAGACGGCCCCGTTCAAACACAACCCGTTACAATCGAGACTAACGGATCGGGACAACTCCCGCAGAAATTAGGAACAAGACCGCTCCAAAGGATATCGGCAACCTGAACGAGTGGACCCCCACCCTGAAAGAAGACGTAACAGCCACCACAGAAGAAACAGAGCCAAAAACCTCGCGACACACGACCGACCCTAAATTGAAACACATGTGGGAAGCCCACATTAGCTTACAACTTGGGGGGAAAAAGCAAAAACATATTCGCACCCTCAGGGGCGGATGCAGGAATTTCCTGAGGGGGGGTCAGGTGTTGGTCAGCGCACCATATGTTCAGGAAACCCCTCCCCCTCTCCCTCGTTTCACGCCCTAAATTTTACATATGCAGAAATCAAGAGGGGGGTCAGGACATCCGGACCCCCCCTCTAAATCCGCCCCTGCACACCCTCAGAAAGAGGGTAACACAGCTAGAAAGGAAAATAGAAGCGTACGCGTTCGAGCTCGAAAGACAGCAGTCGGGACAGGCATGCGACAGC